ACCGCGTCCAAAGCCCGTCCTTCTTTCGTAGCACGTTTTGTTCCTGGAGCGGGCATCCCGTGCCAGCCCACCACCTAACAAACCAGGGCGATGAATAGTTTGTATCTGCCAAATCTTGCAAGCTGAGCAATGACCCGGAGGAGCCCTTGGGGGAGTCAAAAGTTCATCATCTCGGGGGTATAGCTCAGTGGTAGAGCATTTGACTGCAAAAGTTCATCATCTCATTGGGACTTTTGATGCCGAACCTCATCAAGCTGGAGCCCAACTTAAGCCAATCCTTGGAAACACAGATAAGCAGAGTGCCACTGTCATCACTTTCTTCAATTAATAATTATTGAAAGTGCGTAGGACTCTCAGGGAGGCAGGAGGAAGAGGGAGAGGAAGGATGGTAACCCCTCGAGGACAGCCTGCATGCGACTGAGCAGACGGACGGGGCAAGCTCCCAAATGGAAGGCTCAGCGCCCACAAACCCCTCCCTGCTCTGGACCTGCCAGAGGATGTCGCATCTCTACTGTGATTCTGTAACTAATGACTCCTGGGCAGGCCCTGCCTTTTCGACTCAACTGTAGGCTTCTCACAGGCAGGGCTCAGGGCTTGAGAGATAAGGCATGGCCCCAGTGAAGAGTACAGGGTGGGATCCAAGCATGACTTTCCCATTTAACAGCTGATCAACCTGGGGCAGGTTGCTTCTCCTCTCTGTGCAGGATGGATAATAACAGTGCCTACCTCCAAGGACTGCAGGAAGGATTAAATGAGTTAATGCACGGTAAGTGTGAACGACTGACCATCTCCACAAATCCTTGAGGGCCTAGCTGGCATGATGCCTCTCACACGGGAGATGCTCAGTAAACATGTGCCGACAGAAGGATCTGCCCCCGGCTGTGTTTTCTCCATCCCTCTGGCTCCTGTCCTAACCTTGTCTCTTACAGTAGGCATGGAAGTCACTGCCTTGTTCTGAGCTAGTCTGGGGAATAAAGGCAACCCAGCTGAATAACTCGGGTCCAAAAAAAAAAAAAAATCTTAAATAATCTGCAGACTTTCTCTAATTATATTAAAATAGACTGCCCACCAACAGACATGTAACCAGATCATTCCCAGCCTTCCCTTTCACTTTGAGCCATGGAGTCTTAGAATCTTTTCCTCCCAGAGTCAAGGCTCACTAATTCTGTATTTCTGTATTTTCTATAAAGTATAAACAGAAAGCCAAAACACTCAGAAAGCTATGTCGTGTGTGTGTGTGTGTGTGTGTGTGTGTTGCGTGTCACATTTTTAAGAGTCCACATTAAGCCTCCAGGAAAGCCTTTAGAATTACCAAACATGCCCATATTAATGTGCTTTATCAAAGTACAGTAAATGAATTGCCACAAATGAACAACTGCTCCGGAGTCAAGTAGATGGCACAACGTGATTTACGCCTATCACACAAGATGAATAAATCGACGGTGGAAAAGATCAAACGAAATGCTGGAATTGTTGTTAATATGTACAGGGCTTCAGTGAAAATCTTAATAAAACTGTTTAGATGAAAATAGAGGGATCATTTATTGAAATGAAAAGAGATACTGCATGCACCGAATTTCAAAAGCAGCATTCATTTTCACACACACACATATTAGATTTAGCTAAAATTAGCCCAGGTTTCTTTTCTTCTTTCTTTTCTTTCTTTCTTTCTTTCTTTTTTTTTTTAAGGTCTTAAAGGAATAAAGGTTTCAACATGATTTCATTGAGCTGCAGTTCGGCGCTGAGCTTCCAGGGAGAAGACCCGGCTCCCCACCCAGCTGCTCTCCCAGCCTGGCACCACCTTCCCTGCCCCTCGCTCTCTGAGGACCAAGCTGCACCTGCACCTATGCTCTGGCTCCTCTCCAGGCCTCTACCCTCCCCTCCATGTACTCCATGCCCGCTGATGTCAGTCCTGACATACAGGCCTCCCCCCGCCACACCACCACCACCACCACCACCGCTGGCCTAGCACACTTTCTGCCAGTGCAGCAAGAACCCAAAGCCCAATCCCAAAGACCACTTTTATGCCAAAGACTCCTCCAAATTGATCTCCAGACCTGAGCTCTTGGTAATCTTCTTCCCACCCCATGTACAAGTCAGATGCCCACCAGCACCTTGCTGCAGCCAGAGTGGCTTTGTGGGTTAGATCCCAGGCGCTCGCTTGCTGCGTCCCAGCCACTTCCTCGGTCCTCCCCGGGCTCCATCCATCTCTTCCCACAGAAATGCTAACCAGCCTTCAGAGCTGAACTCAGATGATCCCTCCTCCTCAGAGTCTTTCCTCACCATCCCACTCAGCGTCATTCTGAATTCCTTCAGTGTCAGAATTTACCCCAGTAAGGACAACCCACCCCATTCTGCTTTGTATTAGTTCTTCCCGGGCATTTCTTCTTGCCCCTACCTGACCACGAAAAATGCAACCTCCTTCTGGGAGCTCTTACTCACTTTCATTCCCACAGCCGTGTAGTAGTTTAAAAAAGACACGGTGAATAAATGAATGAATCATTTCTTTACACAGATCGTGCCTTTGAACAAGCTAGGTCATAACTTTGCTACAGCCATTTCCTATTTACGAAATAAGTAGAAGCAGAAATACTTGTAACCTAGGTTTTAATTAAAAAAAAACTTAATGAACATATAAAAGAGTACAGCATGAATGATGCTATTTCCTTGCTCACATTTAACCATCGATTGTGAGCACTGTAAGGAGGCTATTATTTATGCAAAATGTTTAGATAATGCTTATAAGCTTCCTTTCAATGCAATCACAGAAAATGTCAGCTGCTTAGAATTCAAGGTGACTCTGCACTACTTTGTCGGTAATACAATACGTATTCATAAGACACTCAGACTTGCTTAATATACTATAAAAAATCTCGGTGTCTTCTCAGTAAGCTGCACATATTGGCCAAGAGACAGGACTTTTTGACGCTTGTGTTTTCACAATAAAATTCTCTTTCAAACAAGCCAGGTGAAAAAATGTGCAAACCACATATGCAATGAAACCACGTCCCCAGAAACTTTAACACCCCTAAGAGATAAAGCAGCAGTAAGGCATCTCACCCCTTCCCAGTCAGCTGACACTTGCAGACCCTAAGAAGCTTACCTGTGCATGTAACTCTGGGGTTATTCTATTTCCTTTTAAACAACACCTCCCCGACCCACTGCCAATAAAATGTAAAGGACCCAGGTCCATACTTCGCAAGGATATAATGTCTGGGATAACTTCCTGCCCCATTCTCCAACAGGACTTTCCTGAAACATTGCACTTCAGTTACTCCAGTTTTTGTTTCTTTTCACTCAGACCACAAATAACTTCATTTGTGCACGCAACTTACCAGTTTGCCTTACAACAATAGAAAAATACGACGTATGCATCCTGGCGCAGTAAGAGAAATGAACTAACACAAAATTCAGAAAAATAAATAGAAGGCTCATTTGCTTTGCAGAGCTGCAAATGTCTACAGTGTCAGTCCAAAGACCAAGGTACAAGTGCTATTTACTGGCTCCTAGTCATGTATGGTCCAGGAGCAACCATCACAAAACAAGAACATTATAATCATCCTGTCAAGAGATAAGTTACGTGATCACAAAGATAACTTATGTTCACAGATCACAAACCATATGCTAGGTACCATGCTACTCCGTGCACATGTATCATTTCATTCCATTCTCACAGCAGCCCTAGAGGAAAGTTCTAATCTTATCTCCACCTTGCTCAGCAAGAAACTGAGGCGCAGAAAGCCAACAGGACTCCCCAGGACACAGGGGCAGCTCCAGATATGAATTGCAGACAGGCTGGTTCCAGACCCCCATGCTCTTAGCTCAGATGCCATGGAATTCATGTGTAACTTAAAAACTCGATCTTAGGTATAGAGGGGAAGCCCTTTATTTAAGGAATGCTGGTGAATCATTTTTAAATTGAACATTTCGGTAAAGCAAATATCCACCTCGTAACAAATTAGTTGCAAATCCAGATTTTTATACAGGAGGTGCGGAAACAGTAGACTGTGTGTCTCGCCAAGTAAGGAAATAGAACATGACTTGAAAAGGGCTGCCCAGAGACCACCCAATCTAGCAGTTCCCAAACCTATAGAGCATCAGTATGATTCCAAGAGACCATTAAAGGTTCGTTTTGATTCAGGAGGTGGAGCCACAAATCCTTTCTCTCTCTTTCTCTTTAAGCTCTCCAGGTGATTCTGTTGCCCAGCCAGGGTTGGGAACCTCTGAAGGGGTCCATTTCCACAACTTCCAGTAGGATCACTCCCAAGGTAAATAGAAAGAGGGGATCTATTTCACAATCCCCTTTGGTTGCATACACCAGGGCTCCCAAGTCCTCTTGCCTCAACTTCGAACTTCCATGTCTCCCGATTTCATTTAGGCAGGATCCTGTTATCCTCTCTTCAATACAGAACCATGAGTCATCAACACTGCATACACCCTGTGTCTGCATGACTCTCCAGGCCAGAAAAATTTACTGTACGTGAGGCAATCAGGAAGTTGTAAAATCCAAACAGACACAAAGAAATTCAAGATTCGACAAATACTGGTTGCCACTGAACAAACAGGCCTCTGTCTCCCTACGCTTGATTCATTCTACAACAAAAACTTAAAACATGAAAACTGTGACTTATGGGAAGAGTTTGGCAGCACAACGGTCTCATGGAGTTAAGTAAAGATGGCAATGAAGACGACCAGGGCCAAGCCTAACACACAACAGCCCATCGCCACCAAGTCCAACACAGACTTCTTGATTAACCACTTTCTTCTAAATTAAACCACAAAGAGAGACAATTTAAGCCAAGTTTAAAAAAAAAAAAAAAAAAAAAAAAAAAAAAAACCTCTTTTGGCCCTTTCTCAATTTCCCTCGGAATGTAGTTTGCAAAGGCAGTCACAGCCACCAGGGCACAATGTGCGAGAGCATGGGTATAACTAGGTGACGTTCCGAACAGGTAGGACTTTATCCTCTGATGGAGACTAGACACGCATAGCAGAACTCTCACCTGATTTGTGATGCACTTCCCTGGAGTGGCCGTGGAGGAGGAGATTGTCTTAGAGTGATGGCAAACAAATCCGCAGCTTGAACGGACCACCCTGGGGACTGGCTGCTGCACGATGCTCCTGCAGTGGTGGTGGTGGGGGGCGGGGGGATGTAGGAAAAGAAACCCAAAGTGAAAACCAGAACAAATTACTTCAAAAAATAATTCCACCTTAGCGCATCTGTACACTGAAATCTAAACTTTAAGGACAACCAATTTTGCGTTTTGCTTTATGAGAATTACAGATACCAGCCAGCTCAGAAGGCAGCTCTGGTTTGGGGCAACAGGGCTCAGAGGAAAGCCAACACAGAAAAAGGTCATCCCTTCAATCAAATTAAGAGCTCAGTCTCCCCATTTTGAGCCAGGGACCGTCATTCTCTTCTCTAATGATTCTAACCCATCATCTGATAAACACATGCCGGTAATCACAGGGATATCAGGTGAAATGGGCATGGATTGAATAGGAATTGAGCCAAAGTCTAATTTTCATATGGCATATATTACTATCAACATGCAACTTGGTGATTAGCATACCAGTCTAATGGGATAGAAAAATGTATCAAATGCAGAAAAAACTGTAGAAGTGTGCACAAGTCCACTAGACTTCCCACTAGATTTTAAATTATGTCGGTATCGAATGTATGTCTACTTCATTTTCATTTTGCCGCAATGCCTTGCAAATGGTAAAGTAAAAATTATCCACCGTATAATGAATGAGTGAATGTGTGAATGGATGGACAAGAGAATGAATGAATCTTCCATATACCTTTCCATCAGGGAGCTTGGTGCTTGTAGTAGTTTTTGTGAGGTAAAGACCTATGCACAGAAATGGAAGAAGTTGAAGACTTGACCTGCTAACAAGAGTTTTCAGCCCTATTAAAATAATATTTTTAAATACTGGTCATTCCCAACTGTCCATGTTAAATAAAGAATCAGTAGCACAGTTATAAGCTAACCCCCAAACTTGTCATTGCTGGGCGGATTTTCCGTCTTTGATTACTGGCGCTGATCTGTATATTTGTTTGGGCTGATTTTAAATTTAGTTTGGGTTTCCTAAGCCCACGCCAGGTAACAGTAGGAAGGAGGAGGCCCAGGATCACACTGGATGTCAGAAAGAAACTATTCTGGAGTTATGAATACGATCTCCAATGTGAATAATCCGTAAACAGGTAAGTGAGCCAATTATCCTTGGGTACATGGCAACACATCTCGGTAGTCATGATTATTTTCATCCATACACACTCACTATTTTTAAGAGCACAGCCCAGCTGGAAAGGAAAATAATTTCGATTGCTTTCCAACACTTTTCAAAGTCATGAATAGTAGCCAAAGCATTCTTACTTCTAACGAATCCATTCACCAAGTATATACAGAAGCATCTACTGCATGCCTGGGACTGATATGCAAAAGGAGTGTGTTTTGTAATCCTTGGTTTCTCCACATGTAATCTGTGAGTACAGAGAAAGTAGGGAAGCTGTTCCAGACTGTAACGTCTTTGAAGTCCTTGGAAGACTCCACTAAGTCTATCCTTCCACGAGGAAGCTCGTTTAGTCACAAATGTAAATGGTGGCCCAGTTAGAGAAGCTCACAAAATTCTATTTGCCCTTACACGGTGGCTGTTTTCCTATTTTGATCTAGTAATTTCTCAGAGGAAGCATCCAAATACAGGATAATCATTTCTGAACAAGGTGCAGGTACCGTGGTTTTGCAGACAGCACTTGCTTTATGAGCTAACAGTTGAGTGTTTGCTTGTGTATCTGTGTGTGCACACAGTGCTATTTACATATCACCTGGCAGATAAGGTTTTACAGAGTCCAAATTACAGTCTCCTCCTATTCTGCTGAAGTGTACAGAACAGTCAAACATGATGCAAATGCTGTAAAATATTAATTTACTTTCACACTGGTATGCCTACTTATTTCAAAAGTATTTGTGTTGCTACACCAATTACAGTAATTAAGAGAGTTAACATAACTTACTGTTCCATCAGAGGGAAGAAACACAAGAGTAAAAGGAAGGCAGAGTGGAAGCACTGTAAAAACATGCAAACAAAATACAAAAAAGAAAAAAAAAACCCACAAAAAACCCCCATTGTAGCCTATAGAATGTTGTCTACAACATATACACTAAAAATAGAATACTTAATATTTTAAAAGCACAGTGAACTACATAACACAATTCCATTTATAGCGGAAGATTACTAACATAGATGGTCTAAGTAACACCGATGTGGTAGTAAAGAGGAAATAATATATTAATAAATACAGTAGATAATATAAATAACTCGAGGAGAGTAGGCCAAAGCTAAGGGTGCAGTAAAAGCCACCGTGCCAAACATAGTGACAGAAGAATACATTTTCTTCGCATGTTAGAAGATAAATTGCTGATAGGTTAGCAGCTAAGACGATTATCACTAAAAACTTCTGCTAAATAACTCCCTCAAAGTGTGTCATGCTAAAGAGCGCCTAAGTGGAAAAAAAGAGTTCCTCTTAGCCTGAATCAAAACAGCATAATCAGGGGAACCTCTGCCCCCTTAAGTCTCAAATTCTGATTACACTACAATGAATTTTCTGAAAAGTTCATTTTCAGGTAGGATACCATTTTTGCTTACATTATGGCAATTACCATTGCATTTTCATTACTCCACAAATGGTATGCATTAAAAGTCATAGAAAAATCAATGAGACATTTCTGCTAACATCAAACATATCAAAGAAAATATAATGCGTGTTGCTTTTTTGTCTGTAACAGTTCTAAACGTGTTTCAGTACATTCGGGATGGTAACATGTACTACAAACATTTATAGCACACGAGCGTGGAAAGTTCGTATGCATAAGGATTACAAAATACATCACTACACTGATAAAGACAGAATACATAAATTATGAGATAGGGAAAAAAAAAGATGCTTAAAACCATCTCCGCAAATAAAGATGATTCACCTAAATCTTATTACGCCTATAATTTTAAGCATTTATGTATATATTTTTCAGAACCTTGATCCACTTACAACTCTCTCAGCCAACATTTAAAAATATTCTCCAAAACAGCATTCAGTTATGCTCATTATTATATCATCTCTTAAAGACATGTTGAATGAGTATTTTATTAAACTGAATTAAATGAAACTAAAATTTGAACAGCATAATTGAGAACTACAAGATTCATTCTTAAACAGGGGCAGTCCTGTAAGGAATGCCCTAGGTCAGAAATTATTATCTCTACCGAGATTTCTACAATGTATTATTCTCAATGCTTTTACAAAATAAGGAGGGCCTGCTTCTGGTAACTTTGGAAGTGTAACCAGAACTAAATCTGTTCTTTGAAGTAGTTAAGCTTGTACCTATCTAAATCTCTCACGCAAGTCAATCATTCAAATTACTGAATAATTCCAAAAATAAAAAGTCATGGAAATCAAATTATTTATGTCCACCCTGAAAATGATGTCCACCCTGCAATGACGTCTCTTGCACCGTGTCACATTAGTAAGCAAGCATTTGTTTCAGAGTCTAAGCTGTGTGTTACTGCCCACAACTAGAGTTGAAAGAATTAACATTCACTCCTACACTAATTTCCAGGGTTTTGATAAAATATGTTTATTGACTAACTTCTAATAGGAAACAAAATGAGCCGCTGTCATCATGTGTTAGTCATCAGAAACTGTCACTCAAGGTAAGTGGCAAAAGTAAAATCCACTTGACATTTCACAATGGAAAAAAAAAAAAAATAAAGGCATGCTACATAAAAGGAATGTGAGTCTGTAATGACAACAAATACAGAAGTCACAGAAATGTGTTTACTAATGTTAATAATCTCTTAAGGCTGGCCTTTCCCAGGACTCACAGACAATGAAATGTAAGGCCATCTACAGGCACTTGACATAATCTGATGGCTAAAGAGTTTTTCTTGAATTTCTCCCTAAAAGACAATGTAGAAGCTCTGGAGCCTAATTATAATATTCCTGACAAGGCATCACTTCCGTAACCCAAACCCTCGTAAAACGAAATTCGGAGGGGAAAACACTGACTTTCACAGTTTCCAATCAAGTACATTTTTCATGCTTATTTTAGTATTCAAAAATACATATTCATGTCTTACTGCAAGAAATTTTCTGTATGTTGCACAATATAATCCGGGACCTCCAAAATGTGTAAAACTTAAACTTCTCTGCCTTATTTCATATCCTTGCTTCCCATCTATTTACCTCCTAGGAAAAAAAAAAAAAAAAAAAGCTTCTCTTAACCACAGCAGCACTAGATCTGAACAGGCCACAATCAAGTTACCAACCACATAAACTAAATGGTAGAAAGTCATAAACCCCCTGTGGGGAAGGAATCCTAGTCCCAGGGCAAGAAAGGATTTACCAATTTAGTTCTGGGGCTGTAAAAACTGAAAACTGACAGGCAGGATCACAACCAAATCAAGACATTATTATTCTCAATTACTTTCTCTTGCAAATATCAGGATTATTAAAATACTCCCCCTCAGGTGGATCCCTGTGCAACACAAAGCTTCAGCAAACGAAGCTACTCACTTTTCTTTCCTTGCTATTTTTTTGGCAACAATATTATTTTTCTTCGCCTGGTGGCTTTAAGGAGGTGGTGTCCTAACGCAAAGAGTAGACTGCTCAGGGCTCTACAAATTATGAAGTGCTCATTAAATTACATCTCAAAAATACAGTACAAGTTGTTTATTGTGTAAAAGCACCACTCACTGTCAGTCTACTAGCTATAGGCCTCTACCACCTCTCACCTGAGAGAAAAATTTTTGAACTAAGTACTAACAGAGTGAGGATCAGGAATGGCCAAGAGGTCCAAATTAAAAATGTACACATGCAGAGTGGCTCCTCCAGGCCGTCCTATTTTTTGTTATTAGAATGCCTATTGTAACGGTAAAGTTTTGAAATGTGGCAATGGGGACAGGCTTCCTAAAAAAATCACTTCCACCACCCAGTAAACGCTTTAGAAAACCGGCCCTTGACTACTGGCAACACAGGTTCTCAGGGATGGGTGTTTTCGCCCTTGAAGGGGTTAAGCGTCCGCCAGGCCAAAGGCCCCAGACTGCAAAAGAAATGTTGCTTTCCTAAGCTCAAAGGTTTCTAACAGGTACCAAATACTTGTTGATCTGTTCACCACCAACATCAGCAGGATTGCCAGGCTCCGCTCACTGTGTGGGGAGAGAGGTATTTACCCACTGCATCCAGCAAGAACCGCTGGCTGGTCTCCTTTAGAAAAGTTTAGTAGCTTGGAAGTGTCATTGGGCATCCTCTCCACCCTCCCCTATACACCCTCCCCCTTTCCCCTCAATCCCCCCACCACCACCACCACCCCCATGATTGAAAGGAGACACAACCGAAGGAGTGAACTCTCTCCTCTGGCTTGAGCAGCACAAATACTGTGCATAAAACACTTGGAGTAGCCCAGGCACAAGACAAACCCACCTGAATGGACGGAGGAACACTGTCTGTTGCCATGGCAGCCTGATCTAATTACAGGAGTGATCAGGGCCAGAGTAAGTGCAGGGAAAGCCTACACCACTGACACTATCTACAGGATGAGAAGGACAGGCAGCCAGGAGGTTCGGGGGAGCCCTCCACCCTCTGCTGTCCATGGAAGGTGGCTTCCAAGCCCGTTTGTCTGTGGAGCTGCTAAAATACTGACTGAGGCACGCACACTTGGAGGACAATCAGAGGAGATTAAATGCCACAGCGTTAGCTGTTATGGTGCAATCCCTTTCTAAGAGTTCATGTGCAGGATTTTCTCAACCTTCTCTTTGGTGGTGGTTTCCTCAGGCACAGGCTTCACTCCACCAAAAAAAAAAAAAAAAGTCCAAGTATCAAACTACAAATAAACCACAGGGTGGGCTCACAGGGGCTTCTAGGAACGAACAGCAGGGCTCCTCAGAAACCCAAACAGAAATGGCTTAGCTAACTAACACTATTGAAAAAGTAACTGGCTCTGCCTAAAAATAACCATCAAGTAACTACCCACTGCTCTGTGCGATATGTACCGACAATGTTTAAATATTAAGAACAGCCTGCATCACAAAACACAAATGTCATTGAGATGTGACTACTCGATTGCCAAAGGAGAGCTTATTTGCATATACACATTCCCGTGCCTGCACCAAGGGACACGCAGGGAGCCTGCCACTCCAAGGCGGTAGTTTTTATTCTGCGGGTGCACGGGGGTCGCCTGATTCTACTGATCGTATCCTGCGGATCTCGCAGGGAAGCTAAGAATCTCTTCGGGGACAGAACCAGTTTGGAGGAGTCCCTTACTGCACAGCACACGGTAAACAAAATAAAAATAGCTTGCCGTTCTCGTTAGCCACCTCGCGCATTATATAACCAGCTTCCGACTGGCTTCCCCCCCCCCCTTACTACTCTTCAGCAATTTCCCAATCTCCCGAAGTATTTATATTACCCTCTTATCTGCAGGATTATATACTAAGAAAGCACAACAAAACAGAACGGCCACAGGGTTGAACCGAACCCCACGGTCCCTGGAAACTGATTTTGTTGTTGTTGTTGTTGTTGCTGCTGCTGCTGCTGCGTTCTGGCCAGATCTCCACCCCCACCCTACTTCCACCCCCCACGAAGGTCCTTTTGCTCGATCTCCCTAGAAAACCTGAATTGCTGCACCGCTTCCAGGCAGCCCCCTACGTGGTCTGAAATAAAATGAAAGCACAAGCCCCGGAGTTTCGGAAGGCGGCGGGAGGGCGGGGGGCCGGGGACGGGTCGGGGCGCCGCGGAGTCAGCCAAGTGGCCGGCGAGGGGCCGCTGCCCCCGCGCCCGCCCCGGCGCCCCCACCCCGCGCGCGCGCGCACACACACACACACACACACACACCCACGCGCGCGCGCGCACACGCACCCACGCGCACTCACACACGCGCGCACTCACTCACTCACACTCACGCCGCCGCCTCACCTCTCGCTCCGCCCGGCCGGCCCCTTCCCTGCCCCCGGCGGGACCGGCCTGCTCGCGGCGCTGGAACCACGTAGGAGGCGGCGGCCGCGGGAGTGGCGGAGTCTCCGGCCCGGCCCAGAGTGAGCGAGCAGCGGGGCTCCAGGGCGCATCCCAGTCCCCGCAGCGCCTCCTCCGCCGCCGCCGCCGCCGCCGCCGCCGCCGCCGCCGCCTCCGCCTCCTCCTTCCCCTCCTCCTGGCTTCATTCACCCTCCCAGCAGCCGCGCAGCCGCTCACTCCCGGCGCCGCTCCTCCGCTGCCGCCGCGGGCGCTGGCGGGGGCGCCGGCCCGGGCTGGGGCGCTCGCGGGCTCCGGGCTCCGGGCTCCGGGCGGCGGCGGCTGCACATGATCAGGAAGCGGCCGCACCAACAGGGCGGCGGTGGCGGCGGCGGCGGCGGCGGCGGCGGAGGAGGAGGAGGAGGAGGAGGAGGCGGCAGGGCCGCCGCCGCCGCCGCTCCAGCCCAGCCGCGCTCCCGGCACCCGCACGTCGGCTCCCCCCGCGCCCACCCCTCCGCGCCCCCCGCGCTCCCACCGCCCGGCGCCCGGCTGCGCGCAGAGTCCCGGGCCGCAGCCACACGCCGGGCGAGGCCGGCCTCCGCGGGGGGACCCCCGCCCCGGGCTCAGAGGCCGGCGGCCCCCCTCGGGGGGCGGGGGGGAGGCGCGGCCCCCCTCCGGACCCACCGGCTCCGCCGCCCTCCCGGGGGACCGGGCTGCGCAGGGGGCGGCGGGACCGGAGGGCAGCGCGACCCCGGCCGCCGCCGCCGCCGCCGCCGCCGCCGCCGCCGCCGCCGCCGCCTCCAGGGAGGGGGACACGGGTCTCCGCGCTCGCGGCCGGCCCGGCAGCCCCGCCGCTCCCCCCGCCCGCTCTCGCACCCCCAGCCCGGGCGCGCCCCCTCGCCTGGCGGGCGCCCACCGGCCCGCAGCCCCCCTGCCGTCAGCCCCTGCGCCCCGAGCGGGGGTGTCGGCCCGGGAGGCCGGAGCGGGAGAAGGTTGTATGTACACACACGCGCACACACGCACACACACACACACACACACACACACACAACGCGACGCGTCGATTTCCTTCGCTCCTCTTCCAGCTGTTTTCTGTGCCGGCGACTGGGGTTTGGGGTTTGTTTGCTGGTTGTTGCTTTTGCCCCTCTCTGGAGAGCGGGGGTAGGGGCCAATTTTAATCTAGGTAAGGGGCGAAGGGGATGGGGGAGGGGGAGGAGAGAATCAGAGGAGAAAAAAATAGCCACTTACTGTAAAGTGTAAATGGATCTGGGGTTGCGTGGGGAAGGGGGGGCAGAGGGAGAGAAACAGTGTCTTGCGGCTGCTGTAGCTCTGGCGGCTGCTCCGCGGGGCTTGTTTTGTGATCCCCCTGCAGTGAAACAGGTCCTGTACGGCTCCGCCACTGTAGTAGAAATGATGTCTGCGGTACACTCCGCTCTCTCCTCCTCCTCCTCCTCCTCCTCCCCGTCCTCCTCCTCCTCCTCCTCGTCCTCCTCCTCCTCCTCCTCGTCCTCCTCCTCCTCCTACCCCCCCGCTCCCCTCCCCGCCCTCCTCCCTCCGCCCGCCCGCCCTCCCTCCCTCGCGCTCTCTCGCGCTCGCTCGCTCGCTCGCTCGCTCCAGTATGTAAATGTGTAATAGAAGCCAAATATGGAGCAGTTGGCTGCCGCCGCCGCAGCTCAAGGATCCGACTTGGGGGTGGGGGGGCCCCCCCTCGGCGGGCGGCGGGCGGCGGGCGGCGGGCGGCGGGCGGCTCGGAGCAGCGCGAGCGCACGGCGCGGCGGCCGGCCCGGCCGGCGCCCTTAACCCTTGGCTGCGCGCGGCCCGGGGAGGCGGCCCCCGGGAGGCGGCGCGCGGCCCGCGACCGGCTGGCGAGCGGGGGGCGGGGGGTGCGCCTCCGGCCGGAGGGACGCTTCTTCCAGGTTTGGGAAAGGGGCGGGGAGCTGAAGCGATGAGGTAATTTCAGCGGTGACCGGTCGGTCCTCGCGCGCCTCCCCGGGTCCCTGCACCTAGTTGGAGGGGGACAGGGCGAGGACGGCAGGGTGCAGCTCGGGGCGGCCTGCAGGACGCTCCGGGGCGGGGGGGGTCGGGCTCCGGCTCGCAGGCGGCCGGAGACCCCCCGGCGGAGGGGAGGGGGCCCGAGGGTGATCCCGACGTGCCCTCGGTGCGGGGCGCGCCGAGAATCGTCTAAGGGGGCTGACTCGGATCGCCGTGCAGCGGCTTCAGCTCCTGAACCGGGCCCGCGGGGCTGCGGGGATTGCCCCTGCGTGCAACTCAGGAAAGTTTGCAGGGTCCCCGCGCCCGCATGTGCACCGTCACCTTTCCTGCCTGCCGGAGCGGGTGCCCTCTCCTGCCACCCCCACCCCCCACCCCCCACCCCGTTTCGCTTTCTGCAGGTCTGGAAATCCGCTCCGTAGCACCCAGCCCCAGCCTCGGAAGACGACCCCGCGCACTGCTCTCGCGGCTCGTTCGGATCATTAATTTAATCGGAAATGAGGTAACCGGTGCAGGAGACACAGAAAGCAAACCGAACATCAAATGGCAGTTCTCGGGGATCCACGCTGGGGAACTTCCTCCGCGCTCGGCCCCTCGGCGCGGGTCCCCGCGGCCCACCGCCCCGCCCCCTCCGCGCGTGCCGCCGCCAGGTGTTAGCTGGGTGGCGAGGAGCCTTCTGTCGAGGGGTGCACCTTGCCAACAGGTGTGGCACCTGGAGGAAGCGCAGTGACATCCGTGCTGGAGGGAGCTCAGTGCGGCGGGCGGGCGTGCTTGCTGCAGATGATTCTGGAAGACCAGTAGGTGTCGGGGCAGCATTTGACCTGTTTCAGGTGCTTCGTACCCGAGTGTCTGGAATCGTGGTCTCTGCCCATAAGTTTCTCTCTGGAAGCCACCACTCCTGACTGTAAGCTGTATGGGGAGAAACCTTTGGCTGAGTTTACTTATGACCTAACGGTTAGTCACCAACTGAAGCAGGATACAGAATCACCAAGAGAAATGTGTCAGCTTCTAAACAACTGGATTGTAGAGCCAACGTGCTACAGAAATAAAAATAAGCGTGCTCACAGCTAGGAAGGTGTAGAGCCCCGGAAATAATTTTTTTCCTCACATTTTGAAATACCATGCACATGCATACATGGCTATTTAAATCAAACTACTACTGTTCACTCTTACTCGTTCCTACAACTTTTTTTTTCTTTCTTTTTTCTTTCTTTTTTTTTTTTTTTTTTTTTTTTTTTTGCATTTAAAACGCAATGATTGTTACGGTTTAAATCCCAGGTTGCTCTAAAGTGACATTGTTGGTCTCATTACAGCCTCTAGTGGACAGTTAGAATCAGTTTCCTGAAAAGGCTCTTCCTGGTGTTTTGTTGTTGACAGGCATTATCAAGGTGAAGCCTAATATCTCAGAGCAGAACCCGGTACTGGCTCCTCCCTCTGCTCGCCAGGGTCCTCTCCCGAGAAAGGATCAGAGGCCTTTGGGCACCCAGAAGGCCTACGCTTTGCGCTCCAGGCATTATTATTATCATCACTGGCCTGCGAATGTTAATCAGAGAGCTTCTGCTATTCATTTCAGTTTCAGACAGCCTTCAGGAAAACTAACTTCATCTAAAATATTTTTGCAAGGGAGAATATTGGTGGCCATGTTTTTGGCTTAAATGCAATGTTTTTACTCTGCAGACTGCCCAATCCACCTCCACTCTATTTTTAGAGATTTTACATTGAGAGAATTTCCAGCCAAAAACAGCTAATATTTTAATTATTACACTGACACAGGCGGTTAAGTTATTTTAACAACCTTAACCAAATTAAACCACATAATTCAGATTAGAGTGAGTCGATTAATTTAAATGTTCCCTTAAGGAAGCTAAATATGTATATTACCCAAACAGTAAAAAACAATTAATAAGAAATGTGTCATTTACTTTCTTAACCATTAAGATTAAAGCCATAAAGCGCCATTAAAGTCTGTAACTATTCCTTCCTGCAAGGTCTCACGTAAACAGTATTCTCGTGATACAGTTTCATTACCTTTAGTACTGAGATGTTTTACTTTCAGATGGCAAAATATTAAATGTACAAATAACTGACCGATCCTTTTAAAAAACAGGGCTTTCTCATGCAGATCAAAACTCAGTGAAAGGGCAGGGCTTTCGAAGAAGCCAGTAGGTAAATATGTAGTACTACCAGTCCTATTCATAAATCTGATATTGTATTCATATGAGCATAAGGCAAACTTTAAAATGAAAGGAAATTGAGAAATAAGGCCTGCCTAGCCTTACTCCTAGTCTGTGTTCTGCATTGCTCAAACGCCACGGAAAATCATTTTTATCCTTTATATCTACCTCATTGTTTTGATAGTATCTAGTTTTGAGGGCTTAAAGTTGGCTATCAAGTATATATGATATCATATCATTATGTATTACATCTTGCTTCTAAAAGCCTTATCTCCAGAGCAGCAGCAGCAGCAGCAGCTGGGAGCTTTTTAGAAATTCAGAATGAGAGTTCCACTCCACACCTAGTGAATCACAATCTGCCTTTTAACCAGCACCCCTGGTGATTCCTGAGCACGCTGTAGTATGAAGAATGCAGTCCATACTACAGCGCTCTGCCTAGGTGAATTTGCCCACAGATGCAGAGCTTAATTTTTCTATGCATTCCCTTTTTATTCCCTCTCCCTTTAATTAATTTGTACTTTTTAATGAAACATGATTACATTTTATGCTTTGGTCAGATAGCACGGTCTTTCAGAAGAGCCCTGATTTCATGTACAAATCTGCATCTTCTTTGCCAAGTGGACACTCAGAGGAATGTCCTGGGGTCTTGAACGTGAAGGTTTTCTTCACGGCAGCAGAGGGAGCACAAGAGTGCTTAATAAAACAAGCGTACAAGCCCTCCAAATGGTAAGGGATTTTAAATTGTAGTCTGTGTTTTCACTGGAAGTAGCCTCTTACATAGTTCAAGACAAAACAAAGCAAAAATAAGCAGACACAAACAGCTTACCAGGTTATAGGAACTAAATAATTGAACAGATTGGAAGTTAAGTAAAATACAGATATACTTATTCAGAGTTTTAGACTTCATTTATTTTTAAAGTGGACTTCAAAAGTCATACTTGGAAACGATATTTTCTCCAGTCGAAAATAAAGAAAACAACATTTCACAATAGATGCAAATCAAACCATCATGCTGTATGCCTTAAACTTACACAGTGATGTATGCCAATTACTTTTCAGTAAAACGGGGGGGAAAAAAAGGACTCAAGATAGAATAAGGTCATTCTAAGAGTATCTCCTGTTTATCTTTAAAACATTGGGGTCAGTCAACCCTACACTGTATCAGATAAATCAGGTTGATTTGGAGTCAGATATGTTGGAGAAAGAATGTACACTTTTTACCAGGTTTTACTTTCACAGTAATGGTGGGGGGGGGTGGCTTAACCTTAACATTTGCAGTGGTGAGCATTTACATTTCAATTATATCTACATAGCATTTCACACTTTTCAGAGCCTTCTGTATAGCATCTTCAAACACTCCCAAGAGATGGGGAAGGCAATGGAGAGCCAAGCCTCAAAAAAGTTTTGCAACCGGCTGTGCTTTCATAGCATTGGGTCATTTAATTGCTATAATAATCCACTGAGATATTCAAAAATAAGGGATGGCATAGACATTAAAGATACAGTTGCGTGTTGCTTACAGTTTCAAAGATTTTCCCAAGGTACTAGATAGTGATTATTTACTAAGTGAATACTTAAATAAGAGACTTATGAATAGAGACTATGTCTTAATTCTCAAGCTGCTTTTTTATGTGTTTATCATTCATTTGCCAGGAGTTGAGTATTGTACATCTACAATAACTAGGCCCTGAGAATATAGGTGAGTAAGAAATCTCTATCTGCAGGGAATTCCCACCAGAACAAATCTTATCTTTTTAAACCGTCCACGTTTACCATGATGGAACATAAAGACTCACAGTCAAGTGATCCAGCACCTCCCCAAACCATTTATACTCATCAGACACAGGACCATGAGAATCCAATACTAGAATCATTGAAAATTTGGCAGGTAGGAGGGCAATTGTAGAAATCGCTGGCAAAATTTGACTTACAAGCCAATACTGATATTTCACGTTTGTAAAACAAACAAAATGTAAAGATGTGCATTCTATCTGAATGCCTTTCCTATCAAAAGAATCACGAGTAAGTTTAAGTGGTAAACACTTATTTATTTTTTTCCTTTTTAAAAATTGTTAAAAAAAGATTTCCTCCTACGTTATAGAAAGACTTGCCAAGTTTCTGCCTGGAGTCATTTGTTATGGCTATGTAATAAATCCTGGAAAGCTCGAATTTTTAATGGAAACACTGACAGACCTTTAACCGTGCTATTATAGGAAGGGTGTTATCCTACATGTGCCATTTTAAAATCTGAGCAAATCAGAGCGT